AGAAAGGAAGAAAAGAACAAAATCGAGTGTAAGTGAATTAAAACTGAAATAAATAAAGAAAAGAAAAAAAAAAAAGAAAGAAAAAAAAAGAAAAAAAAAAAGAAAAAAAAAAAGAAAAAAGAAAAAAAAAGAAAAGAAAGAAAAGAAAGAAAAGAAAGAAAGAAAAAAGAAAAAAAGAAAAAGAAAGAAAAAAGAAAGAAAAAAAAGAAAGAAAGAAAAAAAAGAAAGAAAGAAAGAAAAGAAAGAAAAAAGAAAAAAAAAAAAAAAAGAAAAAAAAAGAAAAAAAAAAGAAAAAAAAAAAAAAAAAAAAAAAAAAAAGAAAGAAAGAAAAAAAAAAAAAAAAAAAGAAAGAAAAAAAAAGAAAAAAAGAAAAAAAAAAAAAAAAAGAAAGAAAAAAAGAAAGAAAGAAAAAAAGAAAGAAAGAGGTCAATTTATTCGTGCTCTATAACAACGGGCGTTCTTATGACAAATAACGAAATAAGGAAAACATTAAAAACAAGCAATAAATGATAAAGTGTTATGAGAGCGTGTTGATGAAATGAATAGAACCTAAATTTAAAGAGAAAGAGAGAGAGAGAGAGAGAGAGAGAGAGAGAAAGAAGAAGAAGAAGAAGAAGAAGAAGAAGAAGAAGAAGAAAACGTATTCATTCGTGATACATAACAAAGAATCTGAAGCATTTCAACTGACCGATAAAAACAATATTGAAGCACATGAAAGGAATCAAGGATTGCGTGGAACTTTATAAGGGCTATCAAATTTCATACTTTATTAGCATACAGACTTTATAAAATGTACATCATCACATAAAAACTATCGACATTATTATATGCAAGTGTGTCTTGAAATGATCTAAGCGAAATGACTTCCCAAGTCTGTTCAAATGACTAAATAACATATATTCTTTCGGATCTCGTCTGAATCAGGACGAGAATTTTTCAGTACCTTTCGTCGAAATCATTACATAGAAATTACCATATAGACATGATTGTGTAGAAATTATCGCATAAAAATGATCATAAAGACATTCTCATAGAGGCATTGTTATATAGAAATTGTCACACACACACACACACACACATATATATATATATATATATATATATATATATATATATGTCCCAGAAAGGGATATATTTGATCGAAGTAGATAAGTGGGTTTGGCTACTGTAACCAAGTAACGGTAGCAGTAATCGACTGATACTCGTTGTAGTCGCAGGTAATATGCTTTGGCAATTGGTGTAAACCAATAGAATAGCCAATGGCGTAGTCCAATGGGCGTCGTCATAGACTTAAACTCTGTCGTACCTACACGTCCGTCTGTATTTAGGACGCACACCAGCCAATGATATTCCAGTGAGGGGGAACACAGGTGTATCCATATTCCATTATATCAATATATATATCAATATATGTATATATATATATATATATATATATATATATATATATATATATATATATATATATATACTGGGTGTAACACCAAAATTGTCCAAATGGTGTAACAGCATAATTGTCCATCCCACAAAATGTTTAATATATAAAAAGATACTAAACATTGAGTTTCTTTTTTTCCAGGTTTTCAGATAAGACGTTTAGCCATCTTGACACAATTGGTTGTATGGATCAGTGAAAAACCATTTGTTATTCAGCTAAAAAGAGAACAGGTTAAAATCGTTTTGTATCAGCCGCACTCTTATCTGGTGAGAGGAAAAAGATCATTCAGGCCTTCAGTAACGGTACCAATATTCATATTCTGGCTTCTATTTTCAAAGTCCATTCAAGAACCATCAAAAGAACGGTAAATACGCTTAAAGAAGAGAGAACAGTAGAGAGGAAAACTGGACCAGGTGGTCACACCAGGAAGAGAGATCATCATTTCAATTTAGAGCTATAGAGATCAATTAGAAAAGATCCAACTCAATTCATGAAACGTTTTCGCATGTGCGAGAGGAGTTTCACCTATGACAGTTCAAAGAGCAGTGAAAAGACTTGAAAATGAAATCGTATGTGAAACCTGTGACGCCCCTGGTTACTCCAGGACAGAAATTTTGAAATTTAGACAGGGCGAAGATCATCTTGAATAAGTTGGAAAATGATCCTGAGTAATATATATATATATATATATATATATATATATATATATATATATATATATATATGAAAATTTCTCCGATTTAACCAGTAGAGAAGACAATATTTATGAATAAAAATGACAATAGGAAAACTGGTAATTACCAGTTTTCCTATTGTCATTTTTATTCATATATATATATATATATATATATATATATATATATATATATATATATATATATATATATGATCTTTTATCAATCTTCATCGATTTTTTAGCTAAGATTAATTAATGATGAACATATCATTTTCGTTTATGAGCGAATTCATCACGATTCTTCTGTTAAGCTTAGAGAGTAATTATACATTCGTATTCCTCAAAATAGGCTCCAGTAGGGTTATAAAAACCTCGGAGAATTCCAGTAAGATATCTTTAACCATTTCTAAGATACAACGGTTCAAATCTTAATCTAAGTATTGAACAATTTTATTGTTACATGATTTGGACAATTTTTCTGTTACACCGGGTAGACATTTCATATAGACATTTTCACATTGACATTATCATATACACATTATTACATAGAAATTATCACATAGATATTATATAGAGAAATTATCACATTAATTATGATTTAAACTTTTTCATATAGATATTATCATAAAGTCATTTTCATATAGAAAATATCACATGGAAATGATCATACAGACATTATCATATAGAAATTATAACAAATCATCATATTGACTTTGCATATAGACATTATCATAATGAGATTTTCATATCGACTTTTTCTTATAGATATCATACATACATTATCACATGGGTATAATTAAGTAGATATTAATACCAATATTACAATATAGACATTATCACTACAAAATTATTATGTAGATATCATATATGAATTAACATAGTTTTTATTACATAAAAGTTATCCTATATACATCAAACAGAAATTACCATATACACATTAGAAATTATATATAGAAGTTACGATATGGAGCTGTGTTTCTTCAGAACGTGGGTGATCATGACTCTCCACAATTTCCTGTCCTCTTAGTAAATTTTGTCTCTTTTCGCTACCTTTCCTAATTCCAGTTTCTGCCACCAATTTACACAAGCTCGTTAGGTAGATTGTGCTTTCTTCTATCATTCTTACCGTCACTATGTCTTGGCAGTATCGATTTTTTTTCTAAGTCCACTTCCCTAATTAAGTGCTCTGGGATTTTCAACTATCCCTTTTTTGTTGGGGGGGGGGTTAAATTTCTCTAAAACTTCATCATTGCTCACATGTTCAGTCCACTAATTCCCAGCATCCTTCTACAGAACCAAAATTTTGTTGCCTCAAGCCTCTTCATCTGGGAGGAGATGGTCCAACATTTACTGACATAAAGGAGGACTAATCTAACGTATCAATTAAGTGATCTTTTTCTTAAATCAAGAGTCGTTGCCTCTTCTCCATATCCACATAATTCTCACTCCCTACTCTTACATTCATATCCCAAAGATCATTAAGTAGCCCTCTACCTTGACTGGCTCTTGACTCGTGCGTTGTGTTAACACTAGTAAAAAGAACACTGGGCGGTTTTACATTCAGCGCCGATAACCATTACGTTACCTGCCCACAATATATTTAATCATATGACAGAATTTTTTTTCAAACCGCACATCACTGTCGATATCGGTAGAGAACCGCACCTCTGTGTCGATATCGGATTATCTCAGACTGGAGTCGAATGGTCTAGTACAGGAAAACAAGTGATTTTTTTTCATGGGTGGAACTTGATGCAGCAGGCTACAGAAAGATACTGAGAAAAAAATTGAACAAAAACCAGAGAATAAACAAAAAAAAAAATGAAACGTTGGTAAGATAAGAACAAAGAAACATTGACTTCAAGAATGTCCCACAAAGAAATCTTGAGAATAAGCAAAGGGATAATAAACAATAAAAAAATAACATCAATGGGAAGATCTTTGAATAACTTTATGCTGCGAATGTAAATAGTGACAAAAGGTATGGACGCTCCCACGTACGCTCTAAATTAACCTTTTCAAATCGAAGATCAATTGTTGTCTATCCTCGATAATCTTCGCTTCCTACTCTTGCAATAATATTACAGAACACATTATGTAACCTTCTAACTTGTGTTGATGTCGAGGTTTGTATCGAATGAATTTAAGTAAATATAAATATTTATGTGGCTATTTAAACTTATTTTCTCTGCTGAATAAAGTAAATAGATTCAAAATATTTCACTTTGTACGAAGGGGATAGAATATAAACACAGAGTATAATTTTGTCTTGGCGAAATATATATATATATATATATATATATATATATATATATATGAAAAGATTACTTAACTTTGAAATATCAATTTTATCCCGACATCGATGTTTCTTGGTAAAATTTCCAAGTCTTCAGAGGTTGTGGATTTAAAGCGTATTTCCAAGTTTTCAATTTTTTCACTATATTCTGCGTCATTTCCATTCTGATTTCTTAGTTCGTTTTGTACGCATGCGTATTCAGGAATTTAACGTTCTTTTTAGACGGACAAGTTTATGAAATTTTTCTTTTGTTTACGTCTTTCATTTTTTTTCATTTCTTCCAGTTTTAATTTTTTTCTTCGAAATTAAATTAATATTTCTAAGGTTTATATAGAATCTGTTATGTTCCATTATTAATTAAATTGTAATTTTTTTATTATTAATTAAATTTTAATAAATTATATTTAAATTGATTTATTATTATTAATTTATTATGCTATATTATTATTAAAATAAATTATCCTATACATATATATATATATATATATATATATATATATATATATATATATATATATAAAACAAACACAAAGCGGACAGTCACTTTCACGCCATGAAGATTGCGTTCAAGCATAAAACCGACTGTCGCT